GTGAATTTGGTTTAACTTAGTGTCATCAGTCAGTAGTGCTGTCTGACTCTGCACGGTATCTTAGTAGAGCTGATGGTTTTTGTTGGAAAAAGTGTTGCAAAACTGATTTTCTTCACACTTTTTCCTACTAACAAACAAATTTTGAGTAAAACATTCAGCTGTGCTGGTAATAATTCCTATAAAACCTATTATTCTCTTATAGAAAGCCTTTAAGCAAGCTTGCATCTTCCCCTGAAAATAGAAGTGCTTATCTGCCCAGCCGAAATGTGTTGTTGGTGCTTCTTTTGACCTCAAACTCCACGTTGGTGGGGGTTTCTAATGGTCCTCTCTGAGCAGCAATATCTCAGGCCATTCATTCCCATTTGGGGCTGACAACAAGTAGGTCTACATAGCTTTAGTGATCAGACTTCTTAGTTCCAAGACTGTGGCTATCAAGGGAACAAGAAATTTACTAATTAATGCTGACTTTATCCCACTGAAAACAATAGTCCTTCCTCGCCTGTGTAGCACAGCAAGACAGGGCTGCTTGATTGATTCTAGCATGTGTGTAGGGTTTCCTTGAATTGATTCTAGGACATGTGTGTAGGGTTTCCTTGAATTTTCTTGAGACGTGTTACCGGTTCTTGTCATGGGCATCTTAACCTCCATGAAGGAATTGCTCACTGTGTACTAGCTGTACTGCCAGCCACCTGGCAATAGTGGAGGAAATGACGGTCGGTTGTGGGGATTAATGTTTCAGGCAACAGAGGCGGAAGATAAGGATAAATGGAGCTATTTGGACTTGTCTGAGTCTGTTTAAATATCCACAAAACTTGTATCACCACCTCAGAGTGATGTAAGAGAAGAATGTTTACCGAGGAAAGATTGTGTACCTGGGGATAATGGATACCAGGTGCAGCAGTAACTGGATCAGTAGCGTCAATGTGGATTGCCCTGATCAGAAAACCATTGCAAAGTTTATGCCACTTCATATCATTGTTGGTGAGCCGTTGTCATTAGGACAGAAGTAAATCAAGTAATGGCTGCTTTGTCAGGTCCTTTTTGGTATTACCTAAATAGTGGGAGGAGATTGCATATGAGTCCAACATACGTGTTTTTAGTGTTTCATCTTACCAACTGCAAAAATACTATGGCAAGACAGAGATGACAAGGGAAGAGTAGATACAAGATTTGATAATTTTGCTTTCTTTCATTGTTTGAACGATCTTTTTCCACTGCCCATTTTGCTTTAACGCAGTTTAGTTAATACACTGTAACTTTATTCTGTGGATGAAAAGGACATGGTTTCAATAAAATGCTGATTGCATGGAATCCTTCACAGGGAGAACTAAATGTCATGAGTGAGCGGGAAAACGAAGGGAAGAGTCATGGTCAGAGTGTTCTGTACTGCAACTATTGCATAGTTTCTGAAGTTTAAGGCAGGGAAAGGCAGGCTCAAGGCAAAAGGAAAAAGCCACTCTTGATGTTCTTGGTGACCTAAATTTGCTTTGGCTGACGACCATTTGGAGCGGATAAAATTTTGGAAGTTAAATGTTACAATTTTAGCCAAAGAAAACAGATTGTAGATATGAAGGTTCAACTTGATGTATTTATGCCATATGCAGCCTTTTTGATCCTTTGAACACTGTAAAGCTTAAGATCGATCAGGGTTGTAGTACATGAGATCTTAATTTAGCCAATATTTTAAATAATAATTAGCCAATATTTGTAATAACTTCAGTTACCTGTATGTATTTGTACATTACAAGTATATTGTACTACATTATAATGGTTTGAGTGAAGTGTTTAAATATGAACAAGTATTAGATATTCTAAATTTTAAGAAGTTTTGTCTTTATCTTGTGTTAGTAACTTACTAAGCCTTATGAAGTGGTTGCAAAACTCTTTCTCTAATAGAAAGCTGAGACTGCACTGTCAAAAATCTATTTTAAGCCTCCAAAGCAGGAACTTAGAGTTTTAAAGGAGTATTAATTTTTATAGTGATAGTAAAAGTGCATGTAGGCAAAGTTAAGAGCAGACAGCTGATGTTTTACCATTTGCAGCTGACACAGTCAAGAAGAGACCAATCTGTTCTGTGCTTTTTTTTCTGAGAATCAACATTGTATAGTTCTGTGCATATACAACATGTACAATCTTCCGTGAAAACTTCTAGGCAAATACATGATAACGTTAGCGTAGAGCAAGTGCCTAGGAATTGTACTGACAGATGCCTCAGAAGTATCTATAAAGAAGAAAGCGTGTAGAGCATACTGTTGCCAACCATGCCATCTAAAAATCATTGTTCAGTCTACAGTATCACAGGGTTGGCTAAGAGTTGCAGAACTATAAAAAATTGTTTGAGGAGCTTTGCTTTGTTTTAGGGGCTTCAGAGTGTTTTAGGATACAACACAGCTTTTTATATTTTGCTCTCTGCAGCCTTTCACTGAAACTGCGATGTACAAGAGGAAAGCTGAGATTTTCACATAATCATTTAAATCCCAGGAATTAAGTTTGAGAAAAAAGTAAATATAATGAGGCTTCCTGTAAAACTGACAAGACCAACAAAGATGGCATGGAAGAGCTGCATTACATCTCCATATGGTGAAATTTTGGACAAATTTTTTTTTTTTTTAAATTTTCTGGGGCATGAGTTCAGGAGCCAGCAGTCTGCAACAGCAAAGACAGACAGTGCACAGGGGCTCTGCAGCAGCAAAATCAAAAAGCTAGGTTTAACTCCTGTTACTTAACAATTTTAACATTTATGCTGATTTGGATTTCTTGGAATAAATTTTCAGACTGGAGCATTTAAGGGAATAATGTAAATTTTTTAAAGAGGCATTAAGAACCCTTTTTAAAAGAGTGGGGAGGATGATTTGTATTTTACTGGGACTTTCTATGGTTTGGCTTCTGAAAGTGATCTTAATAAAGCAGAGCAGAATTTTTACCAGAAAGCTATTGCAACAAGTTTGTATGTATTCATATCCATTCCTGTTTGTGATCCTGTCTCAAGTAGTTAATACTGGGAGAAAATTTTGAGATGGAAAAAATTCACTGGTGTTTGCCTGCATTATAATGTCACTGAGACCAGGCCGTTTTGCTTTTTTCATTTCCAGTAAATGGGCTCAAAAAGAAAGTAGTGAAGTTTTAATAGTGACAAATAGTGACCTCCACACCCATGTGATTTTTTTTTTATTATTATTCCTACAGTTTCAGCACTTCAGGTATTTTAAAGTGAGTATGATAGTCTTTTTTTTGTTTGTTACTCTTTTAAAGGAATGGATTTTACATAAGTTAAAGTTCATGTTGAAATTAATCAAGGAAAAATACAGTTAATGGAAATCTGCAGAAACCAGTTGTCAGCTAGTAATTTTGCTGCAAAAAGCAGAAAGTGACAGATAAAGCAGATGTTTAAGAGTAACCTGAAGCTGGAAGACTGACATTAGTTTCCAGAACAGTAATGTCTTTAAAGTTTGCATTGACTCTTGTTCTTCATCAGTGCAGCCTGTTTCATGTTGTCGTAATTATTTCACAGCTAAAAGTCTTGTCTGGTTTTGCAGAAATCTGTTCAGGCAGTAAAAATGAAATAAGATTTTTCAGAATGACTTTTATTTTTGGAGCAGTATCAAGTGATGCTGCGCTGTCTTCCAGGCCCGTGTAAGAATCTCTCCCTCCTGGTGCTCAGAAATGGTTTGTGTTGGTGGTTGAGTTGGAATTTCTTTCATGGGGTTGATACACCTGTGTCCAAGCTGTATATAGCCATACAGTCAGGTTCAGGGTTTGTATTTTGACTGTGTGCCTGTGAAAACTGGAGCTGGTGTTGATTTGAGGAGAGCAGATGTTAATGGTGTTCTTATCAAGCACTCTGTTGCCCAAATAGGCATCTCTCATTGTGAGAAAAGGCAGTAAAAGGCTGTAAATCTGTCTGCTCATTATGAAGGGCAACAATAGATTGATTTATGGAGAAAAAGCAACTGTTAGGCTTTGGTAGACTGTGTGCATGGAAACTGAGTTTTACAGTGACTGTATATTACTGTGGTTACTTTTGAGAACAATTTAATTCTTAATTAACCATGAGGAATATTGTACCATTAAGGGGAGTCAGAAAACTTTCATTAGCTTGGGTAACATGTCACAATAACATGGTTGTATAAAATTTAAAACATAAGTGCATTTTCTTTTCAATAGTAGATTTTAGGATCTACTAAGCAAGACTTCTCAGTACTATCCTCATAAGCCACAACCACTGTGAGAAAAAAAATTGTACAGAATTTTTTGATGAAGCAAATTTATAGCATTTTAGAGACAAATTTGTGCATTTTAAACAGTAGTGGAAAAGCAATGTATAGAACTGTTTGATAGATAATATAAAATGCTTTTAACAACTCTGTTTTAAATCTATCTCATTCTTCTTGTAATCTGTGGACTCCAGATCATTTCTCTGGGTAACAAGGCAATCTTGCAGGTTCAATCACTATTGCAACCTACAGGGTCTTACTACATATGGGAAGTTTTGGGATGAGGAGAAATCCAGTAACAGCAGGGAAGTTTATTTTGAATCCTCATCTTAAGACTTATTTTCTAGGGAAGAAGAAAGGAAACTGTCTGAGGTTTTCTGTCATTTAGGGTGGTCTGCTCAGGTCTTCTGTTTTTTGATTCTACTACATCATTACTAATTTGGAAGGTGTTACAACTACGGTATGACAGGGGCACAGCTGCCTTAAGTTCATCATAAACTCATTTATGCTGTCATGTTGCATAGCCTTTCAAACGAGGCATTGGGAACTTCTTGTTAGAATATTGGCTTTAATGAATGAGATGATGTAGTAGTGTGTGGTGATTGCATAGCAATTTCCACAACGTTTGTCTCACTGCCTCCTGAAATAAAGATCTTTGGGTATTATTCTATTCCGTATTTCTTTTTTCTGGACAGCCTGCCTTAGGCAGTATCAAACTGTAAGCATTCTAGGCAAAAATATTTCTTACAATGATATTTGTTTTCTTTTCTTTTTTTTCCTTTTAAGTCTGAACAGCCCAGTCCTGCCTGTTCCAGCTCCAGTTCCAGTTTTATACCATCTCAAAGCAGCAGACAACAAGGTACCAACAAAAGAAAAGAAATGGAAAGGAACGTGTGAAATGAAGTGGCTACTAAAAACAGAATGTGTGGCATGTTATTATCACTTGTGATGCCTTTCTCAGCCTGAACTGGCCAGTTTTGCTTTAGACAATTTTCCTCAGGTTGTTTTCAGATGTGGCTGTAAGGGCAAAATGAAAGGAGAGAAAATGTGTGTCTGAGAAAAGTGTGTGAAGAGTATTTGTTTTGAAGCATTAAACACGTTTCAGTCACTTAAAAGATGGTAAGCTCAGAAGAGCTGCTCTTTCTGAGATTGTTGTTCTGCAGGGTTAGGTAGCACGGCACTGGACTTGCATCTGAATCCTTGCTCAGGAAGGAGTGACTTTCCATGTGAAGCCCAGGGATGTGCATATGTGGATCCTTTCAAATGGCCGTAATATTCCTGTACTATTGGGAAGTTTTAAGAGCATATGGTATTTACATGAGATACATGGTAGGGGAAGATGAGGGTTAGACTTTAAGTTTGCATAAGTTTGCATTTTGGTTTTCTAGGTAATAATTATGGCTTACTTTGAACTCGGAAAAGAATGAATTTTTTGTTCCCAGATACTTTCTAAGGCAGATTTTCTGTAAATAAGTCATGATTCAGTCTACATGATCTATTAAACTACTTAGTTCCTGTTTGGCCTATTTCCCTGGGTTTATAAGATTGTACAGCTGATACTTTCTTAATCAGCTTTTCTTTTGTTCTTTGGATCAAGAATATTAAAAAAACAGCTTTTGACTAATTAAAATTGCATTTGTTTTATCCATTTAGATTCCTTAATGTTAGACTTGATTTAAGGTTATGAAAATATATTAGTGCCTCAGACAGACAATTTGTTTTTAAATAGACCTACATATGATGTGTATCTGTCCTATTGCTTTCCTGTAGGTGACTGGTCCTGATTTTCTAATGTGTTCTGGCAGTCTTACTGTAGGTGAAAGAAAGCCAGAGCTAGAGTGGACTGTGGCTGATGACTGGCTTCAGGCGTTTGATTTTTATCCAAGGCTAAATGGAACCCTTTCTTACTGAAACCACATTTTTGGTCTCATGAAAACCTTAGTGGTGTGAACTGACCATTACAAGCCAAAAAACTTGGATAACCAGTCCTGTTTCTATGATCTTACGCTGGGCAAAAAACTGTTGACTTAGTATTCCTTCTGAGCAGACTGGATCCATTCCTCTCTTCTGAGTCATACATAAGATATGTCACAGGCTCTCTTTCAGGTTTGTGTACCTTCTCAATAATAGATGGGATATTTTTCCCTCTGATATGAATAGCTCTGAAGTTCAAGTGGTAGATACTCTACTCTTTTTTGGCGATGTAAATAGTGATTTCTGCTTCTTTCTGGGAGTTCCAGTTGACTAAATGCCTTCATTGCCCAGGCTGTACATTTGTATATCAAAGGGATGAAGCAGCAGGCATACTGTGGCGTATTCATGCCGTGTGTTGTGCCCCTATCAGAACCAATGCTTTTTTCCCTAACTAGAAGTTACTTTCCAGGGCCATTGCTCTTTTTCTGTTGTGTTTAAACTCCAATGCTCACTCAAGGGTAAGAAAACCACATGAACTTTTTTCACCTCTTCTTGCATAAGCAGTGGGATAATCTAAGGTTCTTCAACTTCTGCCCATGGGGCTTAATCTGATGTTTCTGTTGCTTACCAAGAACAGTTGCTCGTGGGCATCTCCTAGGATTCAGTTTCTCCTTAAGTACTCTGATGATTTAGGAGATATCAACTTCTCCAACCCATAAAAAGGCTGTCATGGAATTCTAAATTGTTGGCAAGGAGCAGGAGATTAACAGTGACATTGCTATCAGTGCTAGAAACAAAAGACCTAAAAGTTAATCCTTTGCTGACTGTTAGGAAGTCTACTGAAAAAGATAGCTAGCTGGGTACAAAATGCCTGTTCAGAGTCCCAGACATGGTCCTACATTATGTAAAAACTGGTCTGAATGACAGTCTGTTCAATGCCTATGGGGCTGTCAGTGACACTATGAGATGTGTCTCATGAGTCCCAAGTTCCATTTTCTCCAAACCCTCTCTCCTCCCTTTTTAAGGAAATATGTTTATTACTGCTCCTTTTAAAAGCCAAGGAAGGAGTCCTTTCCCTCCTTCAAGGGTCAGATGATTAGATTAGTCAGTCAGACTACAAGTTATTGTTTGTAAATAGCTGACCTTTGTCAGCCTGAGACCCAAACTCAAGCAGAATATGGAACACAGATCAGCTGCTTCTGCAGAACAACCGTGGTTGTGTGGATAAGAAGCACTTCATTATAGCTACACTTTCCTTGTTGCCTGTACAAGTGTCTGGTCCTCTAGGAATTTGCCCATCAGCACTCTCTGGGCTTCTTCCCAGCCAAGTTTGGGTGTAAAAACAGAGAAAAGAAATATTTATCTGAACCTGCCCAAACTGTGCAAATTTAGAAAAGTTCTAGTGCAGCCTCAGCGCTAGATCATTCTCAGCATTGGCTTTGAAGTCACTGGCACAAAACTAATCAAAATGCCTGTGACCTGAGTTTTGCTAGGACTGGAATAATCACTAAAGGAGTTCCTCCCATGAAGGGAAGACTCTCCCTGTTCGGAGTACGACCTTGACAAACACAGGTCTATCTTCTCTTCTGTCAGTGACGAGGGATGACAC